GCGCGCCCGCCCGCCCGCGCTGCCCTGTCCGCCCAGGACGGCCCTCCCCGGCAAACGGCTCTGGGGGGCTACGTGCGGTCCTCCCAGAGCCTCCTGACGCAAGTGCCCTGCAGAAGATTGGGATTCAAGATCCCGCTGATCCACACAGTTCTCCCCTTCTGTGGGTGGAAAGTGTCCTGAGTTTCACATCGGGCACCTCTCCTCCTTCCTCCCACCTCAAACTACTTATTTCTCCTCTTTCTCCACTGTCCTGGGACAGAGAACACCAGGGTCACTACAGACGCAGCTCTTTTCCTCCACTTCTTCATGCAACACCACACACCCAGTTGCCCTTCCCTCCCCATGCTGCCAGAAAAGACCACGATGAATGATGCATTCTCTCCCCGGTCCATGACAAGCACCTCTGGTCAGCAAGTCACCAGTTGCTTCAGAAGAGAAAAATCTTTCTTTCCCGGGTGACTTCACTTTAGCAGCCACGAGCCAAGGGAAGAACACTCTCGCCAAGGCAGCATGGTCAGTCCAGCAGGCCCAGCATCCTTGGGGCTTTTAGATGGGACTTTGAGTTGGAGAACATAGGACTACAGGCCAAGAAGCAGTTTCTAGTCAGCAGAATGAAGGAGCCCTCTGTCTGCCAGTTTAAAAGGTACAATGTGTATGTGTTGTATTGGTTTGCTAGGGCTGCCATTACAAAGAACTACAGACTGAGTGACTTAAACAACAGAAATTTATTTTCTCATAGTTCTGGAGGCTAGACATCCAAGATCAACGATTGGTTTCTTCTGAGGTCTCTCTCTTTGGCTTGTAGGTGGCCATCTTCTCCCTGTGTCTTCACATGGTCTTCCCTCTGTACATGTTTGTGTCCAAATTTCCTCTTCTTATAAGGACATCAGTCGTGTTGGACTAGGGCCCACCTTACAGTCTTCATTTTAACTTAATTACCTCTTTGAAGACCCTATATCTAAATACAGTCACATTCTGAGGTACTTGGGGTTAGGATTTTGACATGAATTTTGAGGGGGACACAATTCAGCCCATAACGTGTGTAGTGAGATATTCATTTGAGCACCTACCATGTGCAGCCATAGAGCCAAGTAACTTTTGTATGTAATAATAAAAAAATATTAGTAGCACACCATGGCCAGGCACTGTATTATGGGCTTCACATGTCATTTAATCTTCACAGCCACCTATAAGGTAGATATTATTAAGAAAGGTATTTGTAAAGATGAAGAAACTGAAGCTCGGGGAAGCTAAGGAAGTCAGCACGCATTATATGATACAGCAGTGAAGCATGGAAAAATTGGAGTTCTAAATCTTGCATTCCAGTCTTGGCCAATTCCATCCCTGATGGGCTATGGCACTGAGACTTTTTTTTTTTTTAAGTTTTATTTATTTATTTTTCCCCCCAAAGCCCCAGGAGATAGTTGTATGTCACAGCTGCACATCCCTCTAGTCGCTGCATGTGGGGCGCGGCCTCAGCTTGGCCGGAGAAGCGGTGCGTCGGTGCGCGCCTGGGATTCGAACCCTGGGCCGCCAGCAGCGGAGCGCGCACATCATTGAGACTTTTAATGAAGTGTATATTCTAGTCTACTGATACCATAGTCCAAGTTCGTTCCATAGCACCATGCTACTTCTCCATTAAACCAGATATAAACTGGAAACAATAATAGGAGACAGAAAGTTTGAAGGGGAGGAAGTATTCACTAACTGAACAGACTGGTTTACAGCTAAAAGGCTAAGAAAAAACAACTAGAGGTCAAGTTTTGAGTTAAACCTAGTAGCCACTTCCCTTCTTCTCCACTCCAGGCTAAACTCTTCTCACAGTTGAAACAGTGCTGGTGCTTCCAGCCTGGTTTGAAGCTGACTTTCCCACTCTTACTTCCTGACAAATTTTCCCCATATTCTATTTGCTACCCTGTGCAGAGACCATAGCTTGTTTCCTGTACTGAAAATAGCCTCAGAAACCTGAGTATGAAATGTATTTACCCCACAGTTTCAGTCGAGATTGCATTGCCTCAATCCCTGATCATCTCAAACTCTGATCACCTACATTCTCATTCCAAAACTCACTTCCACTCAGGCACCCACGGCCCCCTTCCCAAAGACCCTTCTGACTGAACCCTCCCAAACCTAAGTTCTATAGTCAATAAACTCCCCTAAACCTCAGCCTGTGCAGCAAGCCCTCCCTCTACTTCCTGCTGTGGCTGAGAAGCCATGCCCCAGAATACCACTTCCCCCTCAGTTCTCTCTGATGGTGGTTGCTCATTCCCCCACACCCCACACATCTACAGGATAGGGTGGGGGGTGGGTAGAGAATCAGCAATATATTTGCCCCCATTGCACCAAACCTTGAATTCTCATTCTCCTATTAAAACCACTTGCCATCTGGCCAAACCACCACAGGGCCTTCCTTGGTGGTATAATTAACTCAGCTCCTGGTCTTATGTCTCAGTCCAGGCCTGGCTCCCTTTGCATTATAAATCCTTGAGGAGAGGGCTTATGCCTTGTTCAGGTCTTCAGCTTTGTGTTTCTGTTGCCTAACACATTACCTGGCACCAAATGTCTATTCATGGAAATTTATGGAATGAATGAATGAATGAATGAGCAAGTAATGTATAAATAGTGGGAGCTAGAAATGGTCTAGTGGAAGGGCCTAGGTGAAAAACTCTTGGTGAACTTTCAGCTTCTCCAGGGCATACTTTCGAATCAGATGGTCCTGGTTCAAATCCCAGTTCTACAACATACTAGCTCTAAGTACCTGGGACAAGTCCCTTCACTTAACTGCTCAAAGATGTTGTGAGGAGGAAGTTAAATCATATATGTGCATATTCCTGTGTGTCTGGCACGGAGTAAGTACCCAATACTTACTAATTCCCCTCCCTTCACTCTTTTTTCCCAGCTAAAAGCTGCTCCTCTGCCTCTGTCTTGCTGTCCCTTGAGAGACAGTGAGTTCAAGGTCTCAGCTCAGTCCAAGAGAGGGGCGCAGGGCCTTCAGGGACTGGGCATGTTTACATGCCCTGTGCCTGAGCCACCTGAGGACAGGGACTTGGCTCACCCATCTGAGGATGAGAGCCAGAACATACTCAAGGTTTATGAATGAAACTGAACTTCTTGAATGTGTCAATTCTCGCCTGAGACCAGATCGAGCCAGAGAGAGCCTCGCTAGTGGACACCGTGCCAGAAGGCAGGCCTCCAGCCACCCACACTGCTTTATTCCAACCCTCCTCTGGGCCACTGGTCTGTGTTGGTGTTTTGACTCCCCGGCCTCACCTCACCTACTAAAGTTCCGCAAGTCTGAAGCTTAGAAGTAGAGGAGGAGCTTCTTTGCAATTAATCAATTGGGCCAGGGGCTTTCACTCTTCTTTAGCTGGGGAACCCCTTATTCAAACAAAAATCTTAAGTGGGAGCTGAAGTAGAGCCATTCTGGCTGAGAAGGACAGGGACCTGCATTAACACTACTGAACTAGAGACACCACCTGGCATCCAAACAGAATTTCTGCCCACCTGCTCCTACTCCATCGACAGCCTTGCTCTTTTGCATTTTTTTTTTTTTTTTGCTGAGGAAGACCGGCCCTGAGCTAACATCTGTTGCCAATCCTCCTCCTTTTTTTTCCCCTTTTTCTCTCCAAAGCCCCAGTAGATAGTTGTATGTCATCGTTGCACATCCTTCTAGTTGCTGTATATGGGACGCCGCCTCAGCATGACTGGAGAAGCAGTGCGTCGGTGCTCGCCCGGGATCCGAACCCAGGCCGCCAGTAGCAGAGCGCACGCACCTAACTGCTAAGCCACGGGGCTGGCCTCCCTTTTGCATTTTTTTAATTGAGACATGATTCACATACCATAAAATTCACCATTTTAAAGTGTAAAATTTAGTGGTTTTTAGTGTATTCACAAGGCTGTGCAATCACCACCACTATCTAATTCCAAAACATTTTCATCACTCCAAAAAGAAACTTGTACCCATTAACAAGCAGTCACTCCCCATTCCTTCTTCTCCCCAGCCCCCGGCAACCACTAATTTACATTTTCTCTGTATGGATTTGCCTATTCTGGACATTTCATAAAAATGGAATCATACAATATGTGGTCTTTTGTATCTACTTTCTTTCACTTAGCATAATGTTTTCAAGGTTCATCCTTGTTGCAGCAGGTATCAATACTTTCTTGCTTTTTATGGCTGAATAACATTCCATTGTATGTATACATCATATTTTATTTATCCATTCATTGATAGACATTTGGGTTGTTTCCACTTTTGGGCTATAATAATGCTGCTATGAACATTTCTCTCTTTCTTTTTTTCTTTTTTTGGTGAGGAGGCTCAGCCCTGAGCTATAACATCCATGCCAATCCTCCTCTTTTTGCTCAGGAAGACTGGCCCTGGGCTAACATCCATGGCCATCTTCCTCCACTTTATATGGGACGCTGCCACAGCATGGCCTGACAAGCGGTGCATCAGTGCCCGCCCGGGATCCGAACCCGGGTTGCCAGCAGTGGAGTG